ATGTATTCATCATTCCTCATGTATTCATCATTCCTTATGTCTTCATCATTCCTCATGTCTTCATCATTCCTCATGTATTCATCATTCCTCATGTATTCATCATTGCTCATGTCTTCATCATTCCTTATGTATTCATCATTCCTTATGTATTCACCAGTAATCATCCCTAATAAACACCCATGTGTGGGCAGGGGTGATCCTATACATCCTGCTGGTGGGCTACCCGCCCTTCTGGGATGAGGACCAACACCGCCTCTACGCGCAGATCAAGGCCGGCGCTTACGATGTCAGACAAGCTTTATACTTTACATTATAATTTTATACTTCATTTCATCATTTCATATTTCATTTTATCATTTTATACTTCATTTTATTATTTTATACTTCATTATTATCATTTTATACTTCATTATTATCATTAGACAAGCTTTATACTTCATTATTATATTATCTTACCATTTATTATTAACTTGATGTAGCGTAGCTTCATATCGTTGTAGACATGAAAATTTTTTACTGTATATTATTTATTATTTTTTTAATACCTTTTATTGTTATATGTATGAAAAAATTTAAAAGCAGAAAAAAAACGAGTAAATTTACCAGAATTTTGTTACAAACGGGCTATTTATGCGTTAGAACATTTTAATTTAAATTTTCTTAAAAACCTTTCGATTCACATTTTTTGAGGGATAAGAGCTTGAGCTCTGTTATGATAAGGTTAAGTAGTACAAAGCCTAATTTCTACACGATATTGGCAGAACACCGTGGAGGTGTTATCGTTCGAGACTTCTGCTTGCCTATCCGCCTCATTTTGCTGCGCGCCTTCACGCTGAACCCAGAATGTGATACCCTCTGATTACGTTACCTTCAGCCTTATTACCCTCACCTCACGACGTTTTTTATCTGAAGGCAATATCTAGATTTTTTATCTAGATATTGCCTATCAAATTTATAATATCAAAATTAATTTTCAAATTTTCGGCTCTACTTCAGTTGCCCGTGATTCAAGGATTTTAGAATCGTTGTATATTTTCATACGAAATCTTTTTCTTAGGACCGATTAAGTTTTTTATTTCCTCATATATATTAAATGATTTGATCTCACTGACACCTACTTCTTCACCCCCAGCCGGAGAATTTTTCTTTTAATCTGAAACAATAAACAATTACATTTATGGTCTATATAAGGTTTATATCTCAAAAAAAAAAAACATATATTTTCTCATATAAAGATTTTTATCTTACTGACGCCTACTCCTATCTTCACCCCCAGCCGGAGAAATTTTTCTTTTATTAATATGAAACAATAAAAATTAAATTTTTGGTCTTTTAAGTGTTGATATTTAAAAAAACTAAATATTTTCTGATATATATTAAATAATTTGATCTCAGTGACACCTACTCCTGTCTTCACCCCCAGCCAGAGAATTTTTCTTTTAATAATTTGAAACAATAAACAATAAAATTTTTGGTCTTTGTAAGGCTGATGTCTCAAAAAATTAAATATTTTCTCATTTATATTAAATAATTTTATTTCACTGACACTCCTATCTTCACCCCCAGCCGGAAAATTTTTCTTTTAATAATCTGAAACAAACAATTGAATTTTTGTCTTTATTAGGTTGATATCTAAAAAAAATATTCCCTCACATATATTAAATGATTTTAATCTCACTGACACCTACTTCTATCTTCACCCCCAGCCGGAGAACCTGCTGCTGGCGAGCAAGGCCAAGGGCGCGGCCGTCAAACTCGCCGACTTCGGCCTCGCCATCGAAGTCCAGGGCGACCAGCANAGTCTATCCTAATTAGTGAAGAAACGCTTAGGGAAGAGCCGAGCCTGTTCGAAGCCTCTCGGCTTTCAATCAGGGTAAGAAAAGTAAGAGGCGATGTGGCTGAAGTGACGCCACAGAAGTGAATTATTTGTCGTGACCCTTGTATTCTAACTTACTTATACTGACCCACTTATCCTGACCCACTTGCTCTGACTCACTTATCCTAACCCACTTACCCTGACCCACTTATCCTGACCCACTTACTCTGACCCACTTATCCTGACCCACTTATTCTGACCCATTTATCCTGACCCACTTACCCTGACCCACTTACCTTGACCCACTTACCCTGACCCACTTACCCTGACCCACTTATCCTGACCCACTTATCCTGACCCACTTACCCTGACCCACTTATTCTGACCCACTTACCCTGATCCACTTATCCTGACCCACTTACCCTGACCCACTTATCCTGACCCACTTACCCTGACCCACTTACCCTGACCCACTTATCCTGACCCACTTATTCTGGCCCACTTACCCTGACCCACTTATCCTGACCCACTTAGCCTGACCCACTTATACTGGCCCACTTACCCTGACCCACTTACCCTGACCCACTTACCCTGACCCACTTAACCTGACCCACTTATCCTGACCCACTTACCCTGATCCACTTACCCTGACCCACTTACTCTGACCCACTTACCCTGACCGCAGGGTTCGCCGGCACCCCCGGCTATCTGTCGCCCGAGGTTCTGAAGAAGGAACCTTACGGCAAGCCTGTCGACATCTGGGCCTGCGGTGAGTGAACCGGTGTGAACCCCGGGACGGTGAGTGAACCGGTGTGAACCCCGGGGCGGTGAGTGAACCGGTGTGAACCCCGGGGCGGTGAGTGAACCGGTGTGAACCCCGGGGCGGTGAGTGAACCGG